GGAGAAGGATTTTAGCTGGAATTTGTTACAGACTACCAGATGATATTAGTGTAAAACTCTACAAGGAGAACAAGATTTCAGGCATTAGTAACGTTATAATTATGGGAAGTTTTAATCTCAGGCATAAAAATTTTGAAATATTAAACCATGAGGAAGACAGGTTTTTAGAAACTGTTCAGGATGGTTTTCTTCACCAATTGAACAGGGAACCTACTAGGAACAATGATATTTTAGGTTTATTGTTAACTTCTAATATAGAAGTGAATGAAAAGGAAGAAACTGGACAACATATAGGTGCAAGTGATCACTGCTCAATATGGAGATGAAGAATACTAAAATTTTGGTTACAAATTTCAAAAAGTAAATTCTGATGGGATGTGACCAGAATTGTATGTTACGAATTGGGCAAATGAATTAAAAATATACTTATAAAATGTCAAAAAAATTTAAAATAAATGTTTAAATATTCAAGATGTACAGGTTGGTTCACAAAGGAAAAAAGATTACAGAAGAGAATTATAAATTTATGAAGTTCAAATTGACTGCTATGATGACAGACATAGGATATAGAGGATCAAGAGGGTTGGTCAAACAGGAAATTGAAGAGGGTACATGAAAATGTAAAAATTAAAAGTAATTTCTTATACATTACGGATAAGCAAAATGTCAGCATGGGAGTAGGGCCTTTGATGGATGATAATGGATGGCTCATATCTCATGATTATGAGATGATTTGGTTAAGTAATATTTTTTCGTCAATTGGAAACAAGACTGATAAAGATTATCATATTAATTCTAAGCTTGTTAAAAAAAATATATTATGGTATTGGTTACTGCTTTACAAAAGGATTTAGATTACTTGGTGAGTTGAATAAATAAGTATTAAATGACTTAAGTATAATAAATGTTGGGTAATGCATCTGGATTATCATAAGTTGAATTATAATTGTGATGGAAAAAAACCCTAACAGTGTTGCTTAAGAAAAGGATCTTGATCTTTTGGTTGATCAAACTTAAGCCATCAAGTAATGTGCTGTTGCTAGTGGTAGGACAAATAAGATTTTAGGTTGTATCTACAGAAATACTGAATAATTTCCTTATATAGGTCACTGGTTAGGCCAGATTTGGAGTATTGTGTTCATTCTTGGGCTCCTTACCTTAGGAAGAACATTGAATTGTTCAAAAGGATTCAGAGAAGGGCTATTAGGATGGAAAGATTGTCATAAGAGGACAGATGAAGAATTATGAAATTTTCTCTCTAGAAAAAGAGGATATGATTGAAGTATTTAAGATTGTAAAGGGAACTTTTTTCATATTTTATGGTGGGAATGGTAGGACTAGGGGCATAAATATAAAATTTGGTAGGGTAAGCCATCTTCAGTTATATTTTCTTAGCAGGGTAGTTGGCTTTTGGAATGGGTTACCTTCAAATGTGGTGGAAGAAGTAAATTTGAGGAAGTTTAAAGAAAGGCTTAATAAATATTTGAATGATAAGAACTAGCTTTGAGTTTATAATTTTAATAATTTAGTTTGGCAGATGAGAAAGCCTAGATGTACCAACTTGTTCCTTGTTGATCTTAAGTTAAATTGAAACTATACCCCCCCCCCCCAAAAAAAAAAAATTGAGCATTTTACAACTGTTTCAAAATAATAATAAAAGTAATGTGAAAAAACTAACTTGAAAACTTACAAATAATAATTACATTAAAACTATTCAACATAACTAAGGTGTCATGATTATGGGAGTAGTAAGATGAACAAGACAGAGGGAAAATGATTGTAGATCCAGTTTGTCTTTCTCAAATACACATTCATCAAAAATGTGAGTCAATAAAAAAGAAAATCACAAAAACAACAGTGTACAGCAATATAATTCAAGAAAAGTAACAACTGCTTACAATCGCATCACTACTACCTACATCATTTTTATTAATGCAAATAAAACAGATTATTGAAATCCATTTTAAATCTTAACAGTTTTTCACAAGACTTCTAAACGTATCAAGGTCACTATCAAAGTAAGTTTACACACACACACATATATATATATATATATATTCTGTAAAAATATATCACAAATTTTGCCATTTCTAATACATGTAAGTACAACTGTTCTAGCACTTAGTTTTCAAAAACATTTATCAATACTAATTTACAAAAATTATACAAATACTAGTGATCTCACCATAATATTCACATTAAACTTATTCAATAATATTTTCATCTTCTAAGATAACTCAATAAATGTCTGTTAAATTTCTATAAAGCTACTGTACACACTCGTTCACAAAATAAGTCTTGTTTACAGATGCCCACAACATTACCAGAATAACTAATTTAGTGCAAAAAAAAAGGAAACAAATTTAAACAACCACAAAAAAAAAAATTGAATTACTTTAACTTCATACAGATATCTTAACTTTTCAAAGAAAAAAAGTCTGCATCACCTGGATTAATCAGTATTCTGAATGTCCCATAAATCAATTTAAATTGGCCTTACATCTATTATGTTACTAATACCTAAACATTTATTGTATTTCAGTACCGTACTTATCGGAATATAAGATGCACCCTTATTCTGAAGACGCTTTTTGGGGAAAAAAAAAGCTAGTCGCATTTGAAAGATTTTTACTGAACAAAAATTCAATTTGATACTTTAAAAATTAGCATATATTTTTCTAAACACAAAAGAACTCAAAACATCAAAATAAGAAAATACCGTAAATCAAAAAAAGGTTTACTGTTATTTAGTTTGGTTCAAAACCTACAAAATCTTCATTGCGTTTCACTGCAATTTATTTTTTTATTATTTAGGAAGCATTATAAATAGCTATGTTTTTAAAAGAAAAAAAAAACTACTATTGTTATAAATTACACTTTCAATTGAACTAAACTATGCATGCCTATTTAAATATATTTACACATGGCTTGTGTATATTGTGTATATATATTATTCATACCTTCGGTGTATAGAACGCAAGCAGATTTGGACATCAAATTTTGGGGTAAAAAGTGCGTCTTATACACCGAAAAATATGGTAATTTAAATTTTAGTCAACTACAAATTTAATGCACAACATTTTGACTTTGTTGAAACATTGTACATTTGTTACTATGTTAAACTTGTAATAGTTTTCTTCATTACCCATTCAAGCTGTCTTCAAACTTTATACAGCTTGTTACCTGTGACAAAGATACTGGTAGTTTTCCAACATATTGGCCACAGTAAGCAGGGCCTACTTACTAAATAATGCCTGGAACTACTGTCATTATATAGTTAGTCTAAGCATAATACGTACTATTTATTTTTATGACAGTGAATATTTTTCTTAATGCCACTTGACACTATATCCTATAGAACTGTGCAAATTTCAAGGAAAAAATTTTTTGGATAAATCCACAACAAAATTAATTGTACTTTTAAAGCACCTGACTGTAGTGATTGGGTATTAAATTTAAGAAAATTAACAGTATATACACAACTCTGATTAGACTCTTAAATGCTGGATACTAATCTAACAGTAAGGTACAGAGTAAGTATGTCTGAGTTGGCATTTAAAGTCATTGATAATAGTTTAATAGAGTTCATGAAGTATCCTGAAAGCAACAGCAGCAAAAGCCTAAAACAAGTCAAGTGTAGAAGCCATAATATAACCTTTTATTACTTAAAACCAATAGTTACCTGGCTGATTATACTGTTAAAAAAATCTAGCCTCATTTAAATGACTTACCAAATAATCTAAAAGTCAGAAGACATATAATTGACAGTAACATTAAACAACCAGCTGAATGAAATGAGGCACTAGTATTACCAATTCTGATGAAATGAGGCACTAGTATTACCATTTTGGTGAAATGAGGCACTAGTATTACCATTTTGGTGAAATGAAGCACTAGTATTACCAATTTTGATGAAATGGTGCACCAGGATTACCAGTTTTGGTTAGTTCATGTTTGTAATGTGAAATGTACAAAAATGTATGTTTGAGGCTCTTTTACAATTTAAATGTAAGATTTTCTTTATTTAGTAAATGCTTTCAGTTATTGTAATTATGATTACAACATGAAGTATTTTATATGATAAAACTATCTATGACTGTAATTTCTTTTTTTGCATTTTTGAGTGTTATTTCTAGCTGATAACTTAATAGCATTAAAAAGCTAGGTACCCTTAAAACTGTATTATTTAAGACACTTGTCAAGAAAAAACCTTGGGGAATACAACCAGACCATGTTTACAGGCAAACTTCACTGCCAGCATTTCAATACTATACACCTCATAAGATTAAATTTTGAAAGAAAACCTCTGCTACAGGAAACAAAATTTGGAGTGTCACAGTATGATATACTTAAAATTATCTACTTATTGTAATAAACGTTAAGCCATTTATTATTGTTCTAATAATTTGCTGATACTGTGAGGGTGCATGCCACTCATTCTTCCACACAATCAATAAATTTCATGTGCTGCCAGATTTCAAATCATTGAATTATTAATACCATATATTTTACATCAACTTCACCTGACAAAAACCCGATACTATGGGTCAAAACAAATTCCCTATTGTAAAGGTTATTGTATTCTTGAGTTAATTAATAAGCAAGTTCCTTACCAAATACAACTTACAGTTTAATTAAGTTTAAAGCCAGGCTAGGCTTAGTTACGGAAATGTAATTCTCACAAAATTGATAAGTAGGATTGTCATGATTTAAGACTGTATAAATAATGAACTCAAAACAATGGCTTAACAATCTAAAACTTGCACCTACTGTTTCATTAAAATTTATTACCCACCGTCAGGAGTGTCACTGATTATTAGTATTACTATTAGATTCCCACTACCCGAGTACCTTGCTTTTCAGAAATACAGTTTTGAGTGAGAAATAAACCAAAAATTTTGGAGAATTGTATTTTTGAAAATAAAACATTAACTTAATACTATTTTCCCCACATAACCTACGTTTTGTCCAATAACATTTTAGTTTGAAATAACACCCACCCTATAATTCCATGCGTGTAGTTTTTATCTTTCGTTCGCCATGGAGTTCCGCCATATTGTTTTATCAAGTGAGCATTTTTGTTCAGATCAAACGTACTCGCTCTATTTTCTCTTTTCCTCTTAGGACGGTTATAAGAGGAATTGTCCGGTGTGTTATTATATTCTGATTTTGCATCTGAAACTTTCTTATTGTCTAATATATTTAGGCCAATTCCATTTAAAGAAATATAGTCCCCTGGCTTCGTTGAACACCGATTGTTAAGATCCATATTTTCTATCCCTTGCTGCGCTTCCCAAATCCTAGACCACAGTTCCGACGCTGGTCCACGCTGTTCTGGCTGAAACCACCCGATGGCTGGATCCATTAAACGTAAAAAAGGCTGTTTGAGGGTCTTGTCTGAGCAACTTTTAGCTACAACGTTAGCTAGGCCTACACACAACAAGTAAATGACTTACTCATTTATTATTGGAAACCTAAAATAAGAAGTAGCCCAAAATAGATCCACAAATCGGGCTAAGCTTTAACTGTGATCCCTACCATAATAACACACCTTTTCCCCTCGTGCCATTCGTGTTACATCGGTAGGAATGCACAGTTCAGTTGCGCAGGCGTCAAATAACATCAGAATAGAATAATACAGTATGAAGGGGTCGTAAATAAATTATCTTTTGTAAGGTTGTTAAAATTATTTATATAAATATTACAAAGATATTCAAATACAATATACTCCTCCCGAAAAAGAAAAAAAATAGTGATGATATCTTTGAAATATTTCTGAATTGATGAAATTCGTGAGCGTAATGTAATGAAATAGAAAGCAAAACGAGAAATCAACAATGAGCTTAACAAACATTTTTGGGTTATTTTATTGTAACATCGTTTCTTCTTTAGCAGGTTTTTTAAAACTATATGGTGAAACTAAGGGTAAGTCCAATCCATGTAACGATAACAATTAATTTATTTATTACTTAACGTCTCTACAAGCTGCTGTCACTTGTACATTGTTTTAATTCGTAGGCCGAAGTTTACATGTGACATTCAAACAGAAATATCTTGCTAATGTAAAAGTAAACTTTCTTATGCACGCTAACCTAATCATATAAGTGAATATACGCAAAAACTAATACAGATTCAAATACTTCACTGAAACTAAATACTTGACTGAACGACTAGCACTCCACCGACTGAAAGCATTAACTAGATGCTTCACTGACTTTCGTATTTATAATTAATGTCACATTTCTAGACATCATTTCTAGATTTTTTGACATCATCTAGAATATTCTAAACTTTTCAATCTTAACGTAATTACTATTCCTGCTAACATATAAATTAAAACATTAAAAATGTAGCTTAAAACATTACCCCTCCTTGATTGTGAAGTCCATTGAATAATCCTAAAACAAAACAAAACACTATACTGAACTGATCATTCACCAATTCTTTTTTGATGGTTTTTTCTTCCGAGGTCCACAGCATACAGATGAGATTATCTCTTGTTTCTTATTACCACTGTCTGTCCTGTTGCTTGGGGAGTTTGTCTTAGGTAGGTGGTCGAGTGAATCCATTGTATGCTCCAATCTTGGTGATCCTATGGAAGTCATATAGACAGGAACCATGGGATCCCCAGCAGGCTGAGTTTACGCTGACAAATTCTTCTCTGGAGTTACGCAGTTTGACATTCTCTCACCAACATATTCCAAAAACGATCATGGTGGATAATCTTGGCCTTGGATCATCTGTCCATCTGGATTGTTTTCAGCACAACATCAGGCCCTTTTCACCATGCACTTAGCTTTAGAGTTCGTCCTTTCTTGCAGAGGGGATTGTACAATCATATAATGTCTTATCAGTATTAACATCTTAGCAACTCTTCATTTTATCATTTACCGATTTAAGTCTTTCCTGGGTAAAGTCATGCATGGCATTGATGGTGATTCCATAATATCTGTACTTATTCTGTGTAAGGCTTTTCTGAGTTACTATTGTTGGCGTAGTCTGAGAGTGTCTAAGTGCAAATGAAAAAATAAAACTAAATAAAAATCTATTAGCTTTGACTATAAAAATAAGCAGTATGTAATTGTCTGTTATAGCGTGCAGTCATTCTAGAAAAAAGTGCAATTTATATTTCGTATTTTTGTCACATAATGGCTACAAGGTCTGGCAAATGGATTGAGTCTATTTTAAAGTGTTAGGGCAGAGAAAATAACAGATAAAATATATAAGTTTATTGAGAAACTTTTGAGATTAATTTAGTAGGTTCTAGAGCAGTGTTTCTCAAAGTCGGTCCCCGGAGTACAAACTGCCGGTCCGCAACGTCTCTAGGTTTACCTGAATCTAGTCAGCCCCCGACAAAACATTTGACTGAACTTAGACTATAGCGCTTAGTCATAGGTCACTGAAAAGTGTAAAGGCCTCGAATTTGTCGAATTTCATTGTATCACCTCATTGCATTATCTCATTCCAAATGATGTACTCACAATAAATCTTT